CGTATTCTTGTAACCGCAAAACTTTGATGGAATTACGCTGAAGTATTTTGAATGAAATAAGCTTTTGCTTCTTTGAATTTTTCTTGATCGAAATGAGCTTCTGCTCCCCGAATAGTTTTGAATGAATTTTGGACTTCTCTACTTTGAATTATTTGAACTAATTTGGACTTCTCTTCCTTGAATTGTTTTGAACTAGGAAAACGTTTCTTACTTTTTAATTAAGAACATCTTTTGTTCTCTTGTCAAAAAGGAAGTAGTAAGCTACTTATTAAATGTCAATTAACCCTTAGGTAGCCACCTACTCCAAACGTGACCATGAATCATTGTTTGGAAAGTGGATGGTTGCCACGTTTCTTTTGTGGTGTAATTTTGTTAATTTTTATCCACTTATTAGTTAACTGGATAATATTCCGTTACCCCGTAATTAATCAATTACCGTATAATTTAAAAATTATCTCAAATTACTTAAAATTTTACTTATTTTTAATATACTTTATACATTATACTATCGTGGTCATATGGTATCTTGCATGGTACTAGTTCATAATTATCGAGTATTATTGCTTAACCCGTATTTTATCCCAAATTGGCCACTTTCAACAAAATTCGTTTTCTTTAATTCGTGTACCCTTTATCTTTCATGACACTTCTTTATAGCTTGTTATAAATAGCGTAAATACGTTAACGTCAAGATGATCTTATCCCCGAGTCTACGTCAATTAACTGAAGACGAAACTTTTGCGTACGAAAATACGAGATGTAACACGTACTCCCTTAAAATTGTAAAATCTCACGTTGCTAAGATGCTAAGAGATGTTGTTTGAATTTTGTTTCAAGAAAATCACGTTACTAAGATGCTAAGATGCAAATTTTGTTGAAGATTTCATATAAATTCGTTGTTTTGAGATTTCATCCATTAGCAAGCAAGCATAAGCATAAGCATAAGCTAAGCATATGGGAAAGTCTCTTAAAATTGGGATTGTGGGCCCCACTCTTGTGGATGACTAATCCACTAAACTCATCAAAATTTGCCACCTTAAAATGCGACTTAAGAGTCACAAATTGGAGCTAAATCTTGCTGCCACGTTGGGCTTAATCCGAAAGCCTTAATTAATCACCCACCAACTCTTAATTAACTAGTTAATCTCCCATTAACAATAATTAATTAATTACCCACATAATTAAGAATTATCTCAGATTACTTAAAATACTAGTCACTTTTAACATATTTTATACATCTTACTATCATGGTCATGTGGTACCATATAAAAATTAATATATACATTATTATTTTATTATAACATCCATGTAAGAATATACATATTTTCTCAACTTCTAATTTTCCTAATCTCATAACAAGAGTACAAATTTTCATACGCTTAATTCTTAAAATGGTAAAGATAACTTTCTTTCCTTGTGAGAAAATAATTTATCTTTATAATAAAGAAAATCTCATAAGCTTTCTTATATAATGTGTATAATTTAAAGCATATTCAAAAGTAGTAATATTAATAACTATATAAAATCATATTTTTCAATTTTTTTTACAAAAGTATATCACTCAAAATACCATATCAAATGTATATAATGGTATGGTATCAAGGTTGTTAAACTTACAGGGTCTTATAATAACATGGTCGCAAATCCTCTATAATCTCATGAATAGTCTTAATCCCTTCAAGCACATGGATTCTACGACTCATCCTGATACCAAAGTACGGGATGTAACAGCATAGAACACGCAATACTAAATGAACTCCCGAAAGACTAGGAGGCAAAAACAAGCTTATAAGCAACCTCGCCAACTCTCTCCAACATCTCAAATGGAACAATAAACCTCGGGCTTAACTTTCCTCTCTTTTCAAACCTTATCACGACTTCATAGGTAAAACTCTAAAAAGAACCTTCTCACCTTCCCCTATATGGCATATCAAGAACCTTCCTGTCTGCATAACTGTTATGTCTGGACTGAGCTGTACGAAGCCTCTCCTAAATCAATTTTACCTTCTCCAAAGCATTATTTACCAAGTATTTGCCCAACCACCTAACCTCACCGGTCTCAAACCAACCAGTCGGAGAACGACACCACCTACCATATAAGGTCTCATACAGAGCCATATGGATACAAGACTGGTAGCTATTATTATAAGAAAACTCCCACTAATGGTAGAAACTGATCGCACTGGCCTTCAAAATCAATAATGTATTCCCTCAAGATATCCTCAAGGTTCTGAATGGTACGCTCGAGCTGTCCATCTGTCTACAGGTGAAATACATTACTGAGCTCCACCCGTGTGCCCAACTAACTCTAAACGGAACCTCCAAAAGTGCAATGTAAACTGAGCGTCATGTTCTGAAATGACTTAGGAAGGTATACCGTGCAAGCAAACGGCTCTCTGATGTATATCTGATCCAACTTCTCTGAAGTCTAAGAAGTCCTAACCGGAACGAAATGCGCCGACTTGGTCAAGCGATTAACAATGACCCAAATAGCGTCAAACTTTCTCAAAGTTGGTGGAACCCTACCACAAAGTCCATAGTAATGCACTCTAACTTTCACTCTGGTATATCAATCTTTTGAAGCTAGCCACTAGATTTCTAGTGCTCACACTTGATCTGTTAACAATTCAAACACCGTGAAATGTGCCTCACAATTTCCTCTTTATCCTTCGCCTCCAATAATTCTGATTTAAATCACGATACATCTTTAGATTTACTTTCCGATTTGGAAGATGTATTTGAAAGGAGACTCGATGGGTTTGTCATGTTCTTCAACAGGTGCTGAAGTTCATTCTAAGTTGGTTGGTTATATTGTTGGGGCTGAAAATTATTGATTAAATTCTGATTTTGAAGCTCTTTATTGTCATGAAAATTGAGGCTTTTGGGTGGTGGAGCCACTGGTGGAAGAAGAACGAAGGGGAAGACAAGTATTAAGGGTAGTGAGGTTAGTTACGTGGCATTTTTAATTGAGGGGTCTCAATGCTCTGATGGACATCCATTAAGGCTGGGGACTAATTTGTTTATTACCTTAATGTTAGGGTTAAAATTGGACGGAAATTATAACGGATGATATATATGAATTATTTATCAATATAGGGATAAATTTGGCCCTCGTCCCAAAACTTTTTGGTAAAAAATCTGTGACCTTGTTTTCTAAACAAACGGAATAGACTGACGTTATTTGCAAGCATAGGAAGCATCGAATTCTTCTATGTCCTAGAAAAACAAATTTAATATTTTACTTTCAACTATATGTAGATGGGAAGACAGAAGAAAAAAACATAAAAAATCGAGGAAAAGAATAAAAGAATCAAATTTGCTTTTTAGTATTGTATTAAGTACTATATCGTTTTACAATAATTGGATAAATTGTATTGTTTGTCGTCGTTTCATGATGTCATGTATCAAAAATATGAAAGTACACTTGCAATATTATAAAGAAAAAGAAGGGTACGAGTTATAATTTTTATTATATAAAAAAAGTAAGGTAAAAGATAAAATAAGATTATTTAACAATAAGGAAAGGCAAGATAGAGACAAAAATAAGGTAAGGACGCGGCCATACCAAATCGGTCGTCGCATAAAGTAGCATTTTTTGTCATTACGTAACGATAAATTTAACGATACGATACAATAAAATTTAAATAATAATTAAAACAAACATTATATATAAAATAACATTACGTTACAATACATCATGTAACAACCATCCAAACAAGCTACACAAACAGAATAAAAGGAAAATGGAAACAAACAATATTTTCTCTTATATTATTATCTCTTATATTAGAAGCAACAGTGAGGTGGCTGTATCGTCAACATGCCTGCTTGCTGAAGAGGGTAATTTCATAATTTTACCTAAGCACATTATTCCCTTTGGTCCAAATATTTTCTCTTATAGTAGCTGCTTTGATTTTATTTTGTTGTGCAGATAATTTAACCCTTTAAGACACCATAGTTCAATGCTCTTTATATCCGTGGGTCCCAGTTTACTTTGACATGACATCACATGCCAGGGATTTTGTATTAGATATTTAGATCATAGATGTATGCACAAAAGTAAATAATTCTAATACAGGCGTGTCACTTTACCCATATATCTTGGTATATAAAATAGTAAAATATTAGTGCTCCTATATAATAACATGAAAAAAATTAAACTTAACTCCTTTTGTATAAATTAATTATCCTATATTTTATATTGTTTCAAAGCTATTCTTAAAGTGAAAACTTTTTCTCTAAGCTTATCAACACTTTTTCCATTTGTTAAAGTTGATTATCCATTTAATTACCTAAATAATCATGTCTAAACTAAATGGAGATACGTAAATTGGGGTACATAGATATTATGTAAAAGAAATTAGGAGAAATATGGTACTAATTACATAGCAAAGACAATGAAAAAGTGAATTTATATTGTGTTATTTCAAACACATAACGAGAAATATTGTTGGATTAAGAGTTTTATTCGAAAACCAAATTTACCAGAAAATGAAGTTTGTTATTGCTTCCCAATATCTTAACTTTAATTATAATTGTAGATTTCAACTAAATTACTTTAAAATACCAAAACAAGACAAAAATAAGAAATATATATTTTCTGTCCTAATTGAAAAAAGGGGATACAACAATTGTATAATATTTTTGTAACAAACATTTGGAGGTTTAAATTATCTTTTTTTGAGAAATTTTCAAAAGGATGTGATTTAAGACAAGACATACTAATTTTAAAAAGTGCAGATGTTAAAGACGCTTCAAAACATACGCTATATAGGCACCTGAATTAATCATTAATTTTTTTAAAAAAATCTTTAAAACTAAATTTAAAATTATAAGGCTAATATAGTTTGTTGACATTTAGGCCTCATTTGTTTGAGGGTCTGAATCTGAATGAATCAGATGTTAGCCCATTAAGTATATTTGTTTTTTTTATTTTAAAAAAGTCTGAATAGGTCTGATTCGGTCAATTGAGGTTAAAAATACCGAAAATACACAACAAATATGTGCAGATCTGAATGAATTCTTTCCCAAAAAAAAATGGGGAAAGTGTAAAAATAGAAAAGGAAACTTTAACAAGAATTTGTGGGAAAAGAAACTCCTAAAAATCGGAACTAATTGTTGGAAGAGAGAGTTGAAGACGCTGAAACTGAATTGGTTTTTCTCAAGAGAGATTTGCTCTTCTTTCTTTTTTTCTTTTCTCCAATTGCTCTTTCTTCGAGTTTGTGAATACTGTTTGCGTTGATATTCTATGCGTTCATGCTCGTCTGCCCGGAATAGGGAAAGTAAAATGACTGGAATAGCCTCAAGGAGTTTCTGAATTAACGGAAATACACGCCGGTGCTCCTTTTCTCTCTCTCTTGACATCAGGCTATTTCTCCTAAACCCAAAACAAATTTCATCCTTCACACGTCTCTCTGCAGCCGCCGAATCTTTTTCTGGGTAAGATTTTGAAAGTTATACTTGGAATTCTCCATCTTGTTTCCACTTTTCTAATGGTAAATTTCAGTTTCGAGTTTAGGGTTTAAAAAAGATGGGGCTAAACTAGAAGGTTTTGCTTGCCTCTTTTTTGTGTCTTGTTCTCACTTTTGTTGATTGAATCTCTGAATTTTCTCTAATTTTTCTTGATTTTGTTGACATCCCGATTCTCTAAATCGTAAATCTTCTAAATTGTTAGCAATGTTTTTTTCTCTTTTGCAGATTCACATAGTCCCTTTTGAACCTTCTTTTGTTTTCTTCAAGAATTGCATATTAGTGACTGAAATTCAATTTCTCTAGTTTTTTGAAATATAAACCGTAATTGGTGTTTATGAAGCTCGTCCAAAATTAAGAAACTTTGCTATGGCTAGAATTCGGAGAATGAAGTTCTGTGTTGTTGAAAAGAAATTAGAGCCGCTATAGTTTCATATTTGGGTAGAATTCGAATAATGTATACATAAGTAAGATTTATATTTCAGTGCTTTCTGAATATTTATGTGCTATTGCTCTTGAATTATTCTATCATATGTTACATGTTTTATAATTGAACCATGCTTTCTTTTATTTTTTCCTATTTTGTGTTTAAGATCTTACTTCCTCCCTATTTGCGTACCACATCTTAATATTCACACGTGCATTCAGATAATGTGCTCTCAAAATTTTATTTTTTTTTTTACAGAGCGAGCGTTGGAAAACCTCCTTACCTCTGTGGTTTCGCACCCCTATTTTACCTCCGGCGAAGTTGAAACTCCGAACGGCGCCGTTGAAATGAACCAGAGTCAGAGTCAGAGTCAGGGGGGCCAGCAAATGAGTGAAGGAAGACACGAAGATGACACTGCCCTCGCCGATTTCCTTGCTTCCTTAATGGACTATACCCCCGCTATTCCAGATGAATTAGTGGAGCATTACTTGGGTAAAAGTGGTTTCCAATGCCCTGACATTCCATTAATAAGGTTGGTGGCAGTTGCTACACAGAAATTTATTGCAGATGTTGCCACTGATGCTCTCCAGCATTGCAAGGCAAGGCAGTCAGCTACTGTCAAGGATAAAAGAGATAAGCAGCAAAAGGACAAACGCCCGATGGATGATCTTTCAAAATCTCTACGAGAGTATGGTGTGAATGTCAAACATCAAGAATACTTTGCTGATAGCCCGTCCGCTGGGTTAGATCCTGCTTCAAGAGAGGAATGATGTATTGCCTGCCTACAAATCTCTGTAATCACATTTGTCGTCTTCTGATGGTCGCGAGGGCATTGTCTTGTCATCTTCTACATATCTCTCAAGCTATATATGTGTTGAAGGATACAACTTTTGACTACTTTGTATCTGATTTACTTATCAATGTTAGCTGTAGTTGCCACCAAAAAAAAAAAAAAAAGTTTACTTTTTAAACATGAACTTCTTCCCATCATTAAAATCCAAGTGTATCTATCAATTAGTAGTTCTAAATATCATAGCCAACAGAAAATCTCATTTTATAAATTATAATTTGATGTTCTTTATGTACGATATTGTAGATTAAAATTGACTTAACTTTAGCATTTTTATTTTTAAAATCTTATAAAAATAATAGTAGAGTCATTTTTTTGACTAAACAAAAAGTCTCATTTTTCTAATTTAAAAGTAATCTTTCTTTTCAATCGTTATAAATTGAGATTGATCGAATTTTAGTATATCCATCTTTAATATCTTATAAAAATAATGGTATAAATTCTTATTGGGTAAATAATATTAGTTAGAGTAAAACAAAGACCAACTTGACATAAAATAACAACAAGAACAACTCAGTAAAATTTTATAAGCGGAGTCTGGGGAAGGTAAAATTTACGCAGACCTTACCCCTACCCTGGAGGAGTAAAGAGGTTATTTTCAAGAGATCCTCAGCTCAAAAAGAAGAAAATAGACAGTAGAATTTCTGATATCAACAAAAATAATATAAGCATCCAACTTTGACATAAAGAAGGGAAAAAAAATGTATCCATCTTGCCTATAATGTTATTTTCCTTGTTCATATTTAAATAGCTTATATACCCTCATATTGAAAAAAAAAACAAAATCATTTAAATCAGAGACGAAGCTACATGCATTAAAGGGTGGTCAATTAACTACCATTTGCCGAAAAATAAAAATGTATATATAGGTAAAATATTATGTTTCAGAGTTATATATTATACAACGTGAATACCCTTTGTCGGAAAATTTTAACTTCTTTTAAGTTTTGAACACCCTTGAGAAAATTTCTGACTTCGCTTTAAGATAACATATGAGAACATATAAAGAGTAACTGAAAAGATATAAATAATAACTTAGTTAAATAACCCCTATACTAATGATGTTAAGTGATTTTCTTAATGAATGTGTCAAAAACACTTATTTTGAATGGGAGATATAGTATTACCTGAGAACTATGAATATTGTTTTAAACAATCGGTATTATAGATAAAATTTATGCTATAGGTATATCTATATGAGGAATTTACACGGAATACAACTTATTCAAAACTTAATTAAATAAGTTATAACTACTTTAACTTTTTATATTCCCAATATATTTATCTTGAGATTCTCTAACCTAAAATATATCCTTATATCTCTCTCTTGAGATTCTCTCTCAACTAAAACGTATCTATCTGTATTAGTTTTTCTAAATTTATCCATTAAAGGATAATCCCAAGCCTCTTCCCCATTGTCAAAACTCATTTGGTGTGTGCTAATAATAAATATAGTGGATAATGTATTATATAGTATAAACTCATATGAACCGATGTATAAGTATATCTTAATTCATTGTATAATATCATTTTAGTTTATCTTTGAGGGAAAAAAATGATGTATACTATTAATAAATATAGTATACAATATATTATATACTCCAATATAAACTTATATGATATTGGTATGAGTGTACACTACATCATACCTTTATTGTATAATATCTCTTTAGTTTATCTCATGTGTATGTTGGAGAAAAAATCTGATATATACTGCTAATAAATATCATGTACAATATATTATATATAAACATATATGATATTATTATAAGTATACAATACGATATACCTTTCATGTATAATATCAATAGTTTATCCGATGTATACTACTAACAAATATAGTATATATTATATTATGTAATATAAACTTATATGTCAAATCAGTTGAAGTTCAATTGGATTTTGCTTTAAAATTGATGGAGTTAACGCTACTTTGACCAGCTTGAAGAGCCTGTTTCATCAACACGCCTGCTTGAAAGCCATGTGTTTTGCTCTCGCTCTTATTAAAACACTAGGAGCCTCTGAAGTATCCTATCATTTCTGGACTCCTCTATCCTTTCGCTCTAGGATTGGTAAGAATATTACACGTAAATTCGCAGTGTGTCAAAAAAATTTACATACAAGTTAAAGGGGAAAAGTATGTATTAGGCCAAAATAATTTTATGTTCTAATTTTGTATTTAAGTCAATAAAATGAGACGAAACTACAAACTAAATATTAGCAACATTTATGAGTTTATGACAATGTTTGGTTATATTATTGATAGTTTTCGTTCGTAAAGCTGTATAGAGAATGATCATCAATTAACAGGAATTCCATATATGCAATATGTGAAAAAATGAATAAATATTATTTGAAGTTTGAGTCAATTAAAATCTTATGAAAGTTTAGATTTTTTTTTCTTTTCAAAAAGCATATTCTTTTAAGCTTTGCTTGAATGTAATGAGCATCTAAAAAATTTAAAAGAATTAACTTAAATAGTCACACACCCAATTATATATTTAGTTAATAGATGTATAATATATGTATAATTTAGTTATACATAGAAGAGTTTGACTAGGGGCATTTTTATATATACTCACTTTTGGGATGTCCATTGAAGTTATACCCGCATTGCACAAAATTTTGTAAAGTGTATCCGCTCGGATCTGAAGTAGTTCAATCTCTTTAATGCAACTTCAAATATCAAATTCGAAGTTCTTCTATCTTTCAAACGAAACTTCAGAAATTCGAATTTGAAGTAGTTTAATCTCTTCAATGCAAATTTAGAAATCAAATCTGAAGTAGTTCAATCTACTGAATGCAACTTCAAATTTCGAATCTTAAGTTTTGAAATATAAACTTGTTCTTCGATTTTCAACAATCCAATACACGATTCAATGCTCAAATCTACTCCAAATGAGCTCAAATTTGAAACATAACTTTCAAATATCATAAAGAGCAAATTCTAATCATCAATTGTCGAAATGATAACAAATTTAACAAACTGATTTTGCAACTAAGAAGAAGAAAAAGTAACTCTAAGCACAAAGAAGAAGATAACAACAGTAAAGAAGAAGAGAAAAGTGTATGCATCTGAAGTTATCTAAAAACTTGAGTATCAATTCAGCTTTTTTTTAAAAGTGGAGAAAAATTCAACGGTGAAGGAAAACTGGACGCTACATAAATTTTAGGGAAAAGGCCATTATTGTCCCTGTACTTTTGAAATTCATGCACATTCGTCCCCCGTTACACTTTACGTTCAATCTTTTCCTTACCGTTAATAAAGTCTATGCAATTACTCGTCCAAGTGGCAGCTGACCCCATCTCTTTTTTCCAAGTCAGCTGCCAACTCAGCTGCCAATTGGGACTTCCACTAATTTATTAGCCCCAAACCCAAAGGCTATTTAGTCCCCCCAAAACCAAATTTCAGTCCAACCAATTTAACCCATACCCAGCGTTTTCTTCTTCTCCCCCAAAATAAACTCCATTGCTAAGAACTTAGGGCGCGACTGAAATCTTCCCAAAAATTTCTCATTATTTCATTCTCGTCGTAGCTTTGGTTGTTAAATGTCGCAAGCTAGTTGTTCATTACAGATTAGGTGTCGTTGTGGCATTATAGCCAAACACTTTACTTTGTCTACTCTATGTAACCCTGGAAGAAAATTCTACAAATGTCTGAGGCCCAAGGTTACCATATTTTTCAGTTCTCTTCTCTTTTTTTTGTTAATAATTTTATTTCAATTTGAAACCTAAATCTTCTTGTTGATTTATGTTTGACAGCCTAATTCATGTGGGTTTTGGGAATGGGAAGATTTCCCGCGAAGTGATTGGACTTCACATATAAACTCACATTCCCATTCCCAAAACCCACTTCACATGAAATCACTTCGCGGGAAGATTTCATCTTCCCATTCCCAAAACCCACATGAATTAGGCTGTCAAACATAAATCAAAAAGAAGATTTAGGTTTCAAATTGAAATAAAATTATTAACAAAAAAAAAAGAGAAGAGAACTGAAAAATATGGTAACCTTGGGCCTCAGACATTTGTAGAATTTGCTTCCAGGGTTACATGGAGTAGACAAAGTAAAGTGTTTGGCTATAATGCCACAACGACACCTAATCTGTGATGAACAACTAGCTTGCGGCATTTAACAACCAAAGCTACGACGAGAATGAAATAATGAGAAATTTTTGGGAAGATTTCAGTCGCGTCCTAAGTTCTTAGCAATGGAGTTTATTTTGGGGGAGAAGAAGAAGACGCTGGGTATGGGTTAAATTGGTTGGACTGAAATTTGGTTTTGGGGGACTAAATAGCTGTTGGGTTTGGGGCTAATAAATTAGTGGAAGTGCCAATTGGCAGTTGAGTTGGCAGCTGACTTGGAAAAAAGAGATGGGGTCAGCTGCCACTTGGACGGAGCATTAGGATTAGGGGTAACTTTATAGACTTTATTAACGGAAAGGTGGAAATTGAACTAAAATGTAATGGGGACGAACCTGCGTGAATTTCAAAAGTACAGAGGCAATAATACCTTTTTCCCTAAATTTTATACTAGTTCCAAACATATCGCATTGAGTTTTACAGCCCACTGGTCAGTCCAACTCAAAACCCTCGTTAAGCCCCTCCGCCCCATTTCTCACATTCTCTCGGACTCGATCACATTCAAAAAAATAATGTTGATCCGACGCGTAGCACTGACCACCTCCCTCCACCACTACCACCTCCGGTTCTTCAGCAACTCCGCCGCTGCCGCCGTTCTTCCAGACCCAGAACCGGAGTTCCCAAAACCGGACCCCAAATACGACGAAACTATTCACGCAATTGCACGCGCCAAATCGGGGAAGAACATCGCCGCAAAAGAGAGGAAAGCAGGGCGAGTACCGAGCATAGTGTTCGAACAGGAAGACGGTCAACATGGGGGTAACAAAAGGCTCATTTCTGTTCAGGCTAATCAGATTAGGAAGCTAGTTAACCATCTTGGTAGGTCCCATTTCTTGTCCAGGTTGTTTGATCTTGAAGTTCGCCCCGACTTTGACTCTGTTGAGGTTGTTGAGAAGGTTCGAGTTTTGCCCAGAAAGGTACTTTTTGGTTGTATTATCTTAGGTTTTGTTATTTTGAATTGATCTGCAGATACCGGTTTTGCCTACTCTTTTTTGCTTCTAGCGTTTTACTCTGTTTGTTTCTGATTAAGCAGCTAGCGACAGCTTATCCCCCTAACCTTTGGGTTAGTCAAATTATACTCTTATTTAAATATTAAGTAGCTTTGAAGCTGGCTGCAATCTTATGCTTACTAGGTGTAGGGCATTGGTTATGACTGATTGAATTCACACACATTTTTTTGGTTGATAATAGTAGTATCCGGGTCAGGTTGCACACACCTTGACTATTCCAACGGGTACACTAAGTACCTGCTAGCTCCCATCAACACATGTATTTGATCACTCTGCCTACCAAGACTTAGGTAGATGAGAAGAATGACCTTGGTTTNTAGACCGAGTTTCACACACTTAAAGGGATAAAAGTGGAGCTTCTTGAGTTGATATAGGCTTCAAAGAAAGCAAGGTTCTAAATCTTTTTTTGTGGATTATATTGTCCTATATAGGAGTTGATATTAGCTTCCATAGCAAATAGTCACTATGATGCCCCCATAAATGAAGCAGCCACAAGTGTGAAAGCAACAAAGTGCTTGTGAAAAACTTGCAAAACTTTCTATTTGGAAATATAATATTCACATTTACAGTTTGATGATGATTAATGGACTTTTCTTGTCACTAATCTTGTGGCATTTCTAGAACAGAATGATGGTCGACAGTTGTTGCCATTGTGAGATATTTTTATCATCCTGCTGAGATTTGTGGTATTTAGGTGGGTTTAAACTCTGGGATTGCTTGTCTTGGTTCAAACGGAGGACCTTTTAAAGAATTATGAAGCTGTTGGAGCCAAACAGAGCTTTACATGGCTTTTAGTGGCGAGGTGTGCTGATTTATCTATTTCAATGTTCAGGTTCATCTGGAAGCTGGTTCAGATGCGCCTCTTAATGTTACATTTATAAGAGCTCCATCAAGTGCTTTATTAAAGGTTGATGTTCCTCTCGTATTTAGAGGAGAGGATGTGTCCCCCGGGCTGAAGAAAGGCGAGTAACTTGTGACTTGCTACACATGCTGATTCTTATGATGTCTTATATTTCTTTAGTATGCTGATTCGCGGGGGGATATATTGAAACAAGCTTATCATATGTTACACTTGCACCATTTATTTTTATTTTTTATCTCAGAGGTATAATGACTAGTTTCTTGAGTTCATTCAAAGCAAATATTTACTGTTATTGATGGACATAGAAGTTTCTCTCAAGGTAGAGCCCCAATTGTGTGGTCTAACGGCCAATGAAACTGGAATAGACCATGGGAGATTAGGGTTCAAATCCCAGTATAGGTTAAAAAAATGTTAGGTGAATTCTTCCTATCCGTCTAAGCCTTGGTGGGCAAAGACAAGAAAACCCTACTATCCATCCCAGCACCGACAGTCTTGACCAAAGAGATACATTGTATCATCCATCAAAAACACCTTTGATCACATCCTATCATTATTATTCAGGAGGAAGTTCCAGTTAACACGATCATAGGCTTTCACTATGTCAACTTTGCGTAGAACCCCAGGTTCTCCTAGCTGTAATTGATGATCATGCCATTCATTTGTTGTCCCCTAAATCAATTTATATATTGCCTCTTAAGTCTTTCAGCGAGTGCTTTTGCAATACTTTTACAAATACTTCCTATCAAACTGATCGGCTTGTAATCTCTTAATTCAGTTGCCCCTTTTCTTAAGGACTAAGGTAATTAGAGTAATGAAGCTCTTCTCAGATCTACCTTCAAGGTAGATTTGGTGAAAGTTTCGAGCACCCCATTTCTAAAGATGTGCCAACATTTTTGATGGAAAGCTGTAGTAAAGCCATCATGGCCATGAAGTTGTTCTCCAGCACTATCATTTATGGTGCAGTCCTCTTTCTCTTTGAAAAAGGCCTCCGCAATTATGCTCTGTCATCTTCTAGTAACATAGTTAGGTCCCTGTCATTCCACCTTGGCGGTCATCAACTGTAATTTCCATGAGGGCTTAGAAGGAAAACTATGAATTCTGAAGCAAAAGAGTTTTAAGTGTTTCAAAATTTTAACCACTTACAAGCACGTAATAAGTCATTAAGACAATCAGATTGGTATCTTTGCATGTAGATAAATATTTTCTTAATGGAATTGATGCAACATAAATTTGTTTAATGAGCATAAAACTCACTGCTTTTTTCAAGTATGTTTATGGTCACTTCAAAATTTATCCACCTTGAGTAGTAGAGATTTTTCAGCTAATATATGTTTTCTTGATATTCTGAGAAAGTGAGCTACATAAATAGTGCTTCTCTTAGAATTGACGATCAATTTCAGAAAGAGAGTACACCTTGCTGAATTATAAAATGATGAAAGGAGACAAGCCATATCCATCTAGGTAAGTGGTGACAAAGAACAGGCTTTAAGCATGAGGGACAGTGAGCGAGGTGTAGGATAAAATGGTATTTGAACCAGACAAGGTTGACAGAAACGTCGGCTAGTCAGTCACGGATTACGTGACTTCCATGTGATGATCCAGTGTTAATGACCTTATTCTGGATAACATGTGAGGCCATAGCTATTACCTATGTGCTTGTACTTTCTTTTTCTTTTTTGGATTTTTTAATTAATCATTAGTTAACTAATGTGGCAGGGTCGTATTTGAATATTATCAAGAGAACGGTAAAGTATCTATGTCCTGCGGATGTCATCCCTCCTTACATTGATGTAGATTTAAGTGAGTTGGATGTTGGCCAAAAGTTGGTAATGGGTGATCTGAAGGTTCATCCAGCTTTGAAGCTTGTCCAACCAAAGGATCATCCTGTTGTCAAGATTATGGGAGCAAGAGTTTCTGATCAAAAGAAAGCTAAATGATTTTAATTGAAGCACTTGTGTGAAAGCTTATTATGAAAGGATTCCACAGCTGGGGACGTTGGCATTGGTAGCTGATGTAAGTTATTCCATGATCGTGTTCATTTGTGCTAGTTATATAGGATGATTAGTGATATTATCTCAATTTTTGGAATCTTTATTCGGAATGATTTTATTCCCTTTAGATGAGTATGTTGAATTTTTGGGAAACAGGAGGGAGCCTTCATGATTTGAAGCGGCTTCACTTCTTGAGTGTCATCAGTAACTGAATTGTATATCAAATTGCTAATGTCCAAATAATTTTGCACTACTGGGCTGTGAAATGTGAAACTTCATGACTTTCTCTGCGCAGTTGCAACATCAACTTCATTAATGTAATGTCCTTTTCTTTATCTTGTACATATATATATTTGAATATTTTCTAGTGATCGTTGCAAAGACGATAGGTCCTAGTTAAAGACTTGTGCGAGAACCTTTCATTGGGAAAGATGGGCAGATTGTGGATGCCTCATCGAAAACTATTTTGAGTTGGCGATGTCAATCTTTTCTATCCTTCTGAGTCGGCAGATAAGTTTCACTTATTGCAAGTTGCAACATTATAGAACCTTATATGTGATTTTAACTTCATACAGTTCCTTTTCCAGTTGCACGGTTTTATGTGCTCAAGTCATTCACTCTATCCAAAAATACAAGGATGGATGATATCAGCTCATAGCTGATCTAATAAGGTCATTTTCTCTATTGAACATATATGTGTAAGTTTGGAATTTTTTCCACAAATTATTATTTGCTTCTAGGCAAGTTATCATCTGATATGTTCTATTAGACTCAAGTCATGCCAGCGTCGACAGATCCAAGAGGATATACCAATTCTTTTTTTTTTTTTTTTTTTTTTTTTTT